AGAGTCACTACCGAACACAAGATTGAGACCACTTTATTTAGGAAACCTACTGCAACAAATACAATGCTACGTTGGGAAAGCCATCACCCAACTTCATTAAAAAGAGGTATTCCCATTGGACAATACCTCCGGTTACGCAGGAACTGTTCAACAATTGAAGAGTTCACCACTCAAGCCAGGTTACTCAGAACTAGGTTTAAGGATAGGGGGTATCCCAATCGCTGTTTGAAATACGCATACCAAAGAGCATTATACAGTGATAGACCGGAACTCCTCAAAGATAAACCAGTTTCTAATGAACCAACACTGATTCGGTGTGTTACTAACTTTGACTCAGGTTGGAATCAGGCAAAAAGGATCCTGGGGAGATTTTGGCCTCTACTATCCCAAGACTCCCAACTCAAAAGTGTAGTGACCCCTAATGTATCACTTACAGCACGTAGAGGCAGAAACCTCAAGGAAATTCTAGTACCCAGTCATTTCTCGGGAAAGAAACCCGGAAAAAAATGGTTATCCACGCAAGGAACTTACAAATGTGGAAGATGTGTAGCGTGCAGATACATTAGTAAGAACTCTAAATGTCTGACAGACTCAAGTGACCAAATGGTGCTTAATGTGAAGCAATTCTTTAATTGCAACACTAAAGGCATCATATACCTTATGGAGTGTACATGCGGACTAAAGTACGTAGGCAAAACTATTCGTCCCCTCAAAAGGAGGGTAATGGAACATGTACATTCTGTCCGAAACTCTAGGGATACCTCAGTGTCACGACACTTGAGGAACTGTCACCATGGTGATTCAGGTGTTCTGAAGTTTGCAGGGATCGAGAAGATCCTTTTGGGACGTAGAGGAGGTGATCTTGATCTTACCCTCCTCAAAAGGGAATGTTATTGGATCTATAGGTTCAAAACTTTGGCACCCTATGGACTAAACGAGGGCTTTACATTTACTCCCTTTATAGACAAATAAGAGTACTCAGGACCAACCTTAATATGTTTAGTTATGTGTATAGTGATTGTATGTACATGTTTTTTATAAAAATAAAAAAATGTTTATGTTTTATTTTTTGACACATAAGAGGCTGTGAATTTAAACCAACTTTTGACAAGGTAGTATCAGGACGCACATGTGTCACGTGGCTAATGGGGCATTTTGTGACAGACTTATGAGGGCTTATATAGTCCCCTCTACCCAGTGTCACCGTTAGGGGCATCGTTTATAAGTGTTCCATATATGGTACCAACTTCGAGTGATAACTTTAATTTAATGTGTACACTCCATCTACCATATTTACCTATAGTAGGATCTGTCACCTCCATTTTGGGATATATATGATCCAGAAATGCAGTTTGCAACATAAGAAATATATAGATATACTAGGATCTATAGTTATATCCTCTCAATACAGCCTTAGAGAATAGAGGTCAATTATATTTGCCTTTCTGTATCCACTTATTTTACTATGGGATATCAGACAGACAAGATGAAGGGCTTATTATTTATTTATATTTATATATTAATACATTTTGCCCTTTATTATTATATGTTTCCTCTTTTCATTTTAAATGAATGCTCCCCCGATGAGACACCACGTGGACTCGTTTGTTTACTTATAGTCCATTTGACAAATGCTTTGCCACGTAACACTAAAGGGGCGGGGTTTGCTGGGACTCAGGTTATTGAGTCACTAGCAGACATACACACCCCCCTCTCTCTTTCCCTTTCATACGCGTCTACAAATGCGTGATGCTACCCAATTACCTGCCGTCAAGTGAACTTGTAGGCGTGGCCTGTTCGGGCTGAAGATTTTTGGCGCGAACAGTAAGCACACGCCCCCATTCTCCTATTGGCGGCATATGGTTATTTAAACAGCCTTGTGTGCACTATGAGGTCTGCTAAGCCTCGGAAGAAGGCGCGTTCTCTAGCGCCGAAACATATGTTAGGCAGTAGGCAGGGAGACCAGTGATTTTGATTATAGGCAGTAAGATTAGCGATTCCTTCCTCAATTTATATCTCTCACTATTGACAGTACCAGAGAGCACACAGCTATCTCAAGGATTTTTGGCTAGGGTTTATTTTCTTTCTCTGGCTCACTTCGTGTGTTCTTTTCTCTTTGTATCATCTGAGCTCAAGATCTGGGTTACTAAAGTGGGTGGGTTGGTATCTTTATCTACAGACTCCCCACATGGGAAGGGGGTACCTTATGCCCTCCACACTGCGATTTTGCCTCAAGGGATATTTTGTATACTCTGTCATCTGGATCTACTGATATCCACTCTGCATTGATACAATGTTCATAGGTATCATTTTGTTGCCATACCCCAGTACTTTATATAGTCAGTGCTATTCAAGCAATCATTGAACCTAGCTGTCTATATCACAGTTAGTAATATTAAGGGAGAGTTCAGCTAAGGAAGGGCTCTTTTGTCCATTTTTTAGATCCACGTATGTGGCCTCAGAATTAGAGATTTTGCCTTTATTCCTCTACCTGCATTTTATCTATCTCTCTGGTCTCCCTAATTTTTTCAGACCTTTCTTTTCTTTTAATTATGTGTATGTTTTTTATAATTACTATTAAAAGTTATGTTTTATCAACATGTAACTCTATTTAGGGGCTTTCTCACTTTTGACCCAGAGGGTCTCTCTTTTCTGTTTTATTTAGTGTTTCACTCTGAGTGCAGGGCATCTCATATGTTGTATACTGTGCACTATACTCTACTGTGTATAGCAGTGTGTGTCATTGTATGACTACTGTCTAAATGTGTGTGCATACTGTGTTTGAGTGTGTCAGTGTGTGTATACTGTGAGTGTGTATCAATGTGTGTATATGCCATGTACAACCGAAGTGGATGTTCTGATTTCTTTCACCTCTCTCCCAGTCTAGTGAGAGAAAAATACAGGCCATTGCATTTCTGGTATTTTTGGAAGACCAGCATCGACCAGACAGTAAAATAACAGCCAGGTGGCAATCCTACTCTCAGCCACCAGACCAGAGATGTCACTCTCAGGAGTCTTTGCAAAATAGGTAAACACACCCAAAAGTGACAGATTCTCTTTAATGTCAGTTAGACTTTCTTCCCTCTTTCCCTCCATCCCCACTCTCGATCCCTTTTCTTCACCCCACCCCTTTACTTTTCACCTTTTTTTTTACCTTTCACACCCTTTATGTTTTGTTTTCTGTACAATTGCAATTGTTTACTTCTACATATTAATTTGTTTTATGTTGTTTTCTTCACTTCTCACACTTATTGTATGTTATACCTCTGTACTTAAAAATGTTATAGCAAAAAATACTGAAGGGGTCAGTTTACACACCCACTCTAACATTCCTCTTATGATTGTGAGTAAAAAATGCAGAAAAAAAACCCAAATTCTTTACACTTCTACAAATGTGGCACAAGAGTTAATTCTAGGTATGTTTAGAGTGATTAGTAATTTAGTCTCTTATTTGGCAGATGTTTTATATTATGAAGATATGTTTGACACATATTGAATAGCTGTGGAAATGTTTCCAATTGGGAAAACAAAACTTGGTTTTTCTGAACATAAAAAAGTTTGAAAAATATACAGAAAAAAAAAAAATGTGCAGTTCAGCGCTGCATATGTTCCTATGGGAATTTTAAGGCACCTGAATATGGACAAGGAAGGCACAAGCAGATTTTTGACAAGGTTTTTACTGAATATCCTTGTAGCATAAACACTGGGACTTCTCTGTTCAATGCTTTTGATTTCAAATAAAATGAATCAAGTACAGTTATGAACGGAATACCTTGGATCAAAGGCCCTCCACACCTAATTAAATTGCAAATGTGCTAAAGAGTTGTATCCAAAATAGGCTAGAAAAGGTTTCTCTGTTTTAAGAATTGATTCACATATGTTTCCCTGGAAAATGTGAGAATTCACTTTTGATGCTTAACTTAACTTGTTAAGGATCACTGAGGTTCCATGCCGTCATCATAATATGTTTCTGGTTATATAGTTGGTACATGGATTGCACACCATTTCTTACCCGTGTTGGATGGTGTATTACTGCTGCTACCTTTGCTACGTGATCACATCAGTGTTCGAGGATGCTCAGAGCTCTGTCTTCAGGCTATTTACACCAACAAGCAATGTGCTATTATAATACCTTCACATATGCCCTCATTCTGTAAACAGCAAACAGGTTTAGAGCTAGTGTGAACAATAATTGATACTGTTCAATACCTATTAGAATATTCTGCATATAAAAAAGAGAGATTATCTTCATGTTGGTGTTTTTCCTTTTTGTTTTATGGAATGTTAACACTTTTACAATTTGCACATATACATGCACAGAGCTTCCATTATTAACAGTATGAGCACTTTGAGCTAAAAAATTATACAAAAATGATATGTTGACTATAAAAAAACACCCCACAATGTAACAAATAAGATGCTTTGGGCACAACCATGGGACAGCATAGTTACATACATAATGGACTATTACTGAATCAAATACAGAAAAGTATAATCCTTGAGAAACCTGGAAGCACAAAACCAACACAAAGTAACTTGTTATAGCAAAAAGGGACTTACCCATTAAAAAACACCTGTCGTGCCCCACAATGTATGCTCATTAGATTAAGCATAAGATTTTTTTCTATACACTGTGTTAGCAGTTTTGCTAACAAAAGAAAAAATATAAAAAAAACTATTTAAAGAGTCAATGCCTCAGTGTGCCGCAGCACTGACTGACAAGGAAGAGAAAACCCATAGCAAACACAAGGCATGTGTTCTGGTTGATATGGAAACTCGTTAACCAGAGATTTGCGCGCCGGCAAAGGAGTATAGGAACGTAGTGATTTACAGTGATTTTTTTTTCGGTTATACTGTTTATCTGGTATCCTTGACCTTGGCTTGTTTTTCTACTTCGCTATTTTACCTATCTAAGGCATCACGTTAGACCCAGAAACTTTAAGGTTTGGTATCTAAAACCACGGCTTCCTGTTTGCTAATTATTTCCATATTCTCTGTGTTAGGGTCACCCCATCCTGACACAACAGAAGCGAGGGGTTTGATGAGGGCAGTGCAATGAGAGAGAGGTCACCCAGGAAGATGGTAAGCTTTCCTAAAGTGGTGTGTTTTCTGTGACTTCTTGAAGGTCTGGAGGCAAGGGGAAAGTCTGATGGTACAGGGTAGGGATCGACCGATATTGATTTATTTTTTTTAGGGCCGATAACAATAATCTGTGAACTTTCAGGCCGGTAGCCGTTAACTTACCGATATTCTGTACATTTATCATAAAAAAAAATAAAAAAATATTTCTACACAAATTTACAGATTTTACTATTAACATGACGTAAAGTCGTGATTTTATTAATGACACAGAGGCGAGTATTATGCTGCACTCTTTCTTTACCTCAGCAGCAAAGAAAAATAACATTAAATCAGTATAAAAGAAACCAGTAAATAACATGAGGTATAGCTTCCTAGCAACAGGAGCAGCCAATCAGCATCCTCTTTATAGCATAATAGGCAGTGTCCAGTATACTACTTCCTCTTTCTTGCGATCCCGAACAAGGACAACAAATCCAAATAAAAAGTGGGCTCCAATTAGAGGGTATACGAGCCTTAAACTGGATCTCGAAGTCAAGCTGGAAGAGAAAGGAGAATATGGTAATATCCAAGTATAAAACTGGATTTATGCATAAATTCGCATTACATGAAATATCAGATATATATATATACACATAACATGAAATTCAGTTTAGTCAAACCTTAAGCTCTTGACAGTCATTAACAAGGATAAAACCCAGTAATCAAAAAAGACTTACCGTGAAGTCAACTTACCCAGAGAAGACCAAACCTCCAGGGATGGGAGGGAGGGATAATACTCGCCTCCGTGTCATTAATAAAATCATGACTTTACGTCATGTTAATAGTAAAATCTGTAAATTTTATTAAGACACGGAGGCTCCTATTATGCTAGTTCAAAGCTGTGAAATTATGTCTGCTGTGAAGTGTTGAATAGGTCTAAAGTAGAAATCATGGAATGTAGACTCCGAAGACCTGCCGCTCTCATAATATCCTCCAAGCGACAACCAATCGAGGAAGCCTTAGAAGCCAGTGCCCTACGAACCGAATGAGGCACAGACACATAGGTATCAATACCTGCTAGAGACATAACGTATTTGACCCACCAGGCTAGAGTAGACACCGGAAGACGCGAAATTTGGAAGGAGATGAAGAGTTCCTGTTTCAAAGGATTCTGTAACGTAGTAGAACGATGTTCACACACACATTAGTATGCAACAAGGCAAAGGAGAGCTCTATCAGGGAAAACTGGGTAAGATAGATTTTAGAGGAGGTTTTTGTCCTCCGTGAAATGTCAAAGAGGACACCTTCTGGAGTAAAGGAACGAGCAACCACTTCATGAGCTCGTATGTCAGAAAAACCTCTTGCAAGAAAAAAATTCAAGACAATAGAGACGTCCCACAAGACAGAGTATTATGGTAAGGGTGAATGAGTAAACCATATTCCTCAGAGAAGTCAATATATGACAGGATGTCAACCGACAGGCGTCCAATCAAAACTTTGATGATCAGCAGAAATGGATGATCGGTAAGGTCCACAGTGCGATAGGCTTTACCTTTATCATAGAAGTCAGAAAAATGGAGGACAAACATAAAAGGAGCCGATATGGGATTTAAATTTAATTTCATACACCAACTATGCCATCTGCTCCAAGCAGATTTATAAGCCTGTCTCGTGTTGGGTGCACCCTTGATAAGTTGGGGAGTTGATTGTGAAACTCCCTTGACCTACCAAGGTTCCTTGAAATAGACTACAATATGAGATGCAAGAGACCTTGGAGAACAAGAGGATGAGGTACACCATCTGGATCCTGAAGAAGGCACTCGAGAGATGGAAAGTCGATAACCATCTCCTGAAGAGAAGAGAACTATGGTTGGGACGGCGATAGAGGAGCCACGATCAACAGGTGTCGGACTGGTGATGTAGATGGAAAGGCAAAAAATCATAATTCCTTGGAGAAAACATTCATAGCCAGTGCTATCGGATCTGGTCTCCAACTGAAAAAACGGGGAAGTTGAGCATTCAAACGAGAAGCGAAAAGATCTATTTCCAATAGACCCCATAGGTTGCAGATGTTTTGGAAGACCATGGAATCCAAGTGCCAGTCGCTGGAATCTCTGAGTTGGCGTGCATACCAGTCCATCGTAGTGTTTGAGAGACCTTGAATATATTCTGCCAGGACTGAAATGCCGTGTCTCAGGCAAAATTTCCAGCAATCACGAGGCATGTAGGTCAGAATTTTGTATTTTGTGCTTCCAAGTGATTGATGTAGCGGACTGCTGACACGTTGTCCATCTTTAGAAGGATAGCGCATTGGGCTTGAGTTGGGGAGAAACTATGGATGTGAAGTGTTGATTCCAGGTTTGATTATCTGCCCTTGGTGGAAATAGTTCTGCATTGAGTACCCCAACCGTGCAAACTTGCGTCGGATTTGATTATCAAATCTGGAGCTGTACAAAATATGGTGTGCTTATTCCAAGCTTCCATGTGAAGAAGCCACCATTGGAGTTCATCCTCCGCTTCTGAGTCCAGAGTTACCATATCTGTGTATGATGCGCTGCCCTTGAGATGAAGTTTGTAATTGTTGTAGGGCTCGATAGCCAAGAAGACCTGTAGAAATGGCCTGTATAGATGCCGCTAGAAGGCCTAACATTCTCAACAGTTGTTTGAGAGAGAGTTGAGAGGTTGCTAGTGTTCGCCTATCTCCTTCTTTATATTGGCTAATTTTGCCACCGGAGGGTGTAGAATTTGAAGGGTAGAATCTACAATAATCCAATATAACCCAGAAATGTTATTTGTTGCGTGGGAACGATAATGGATTTCTCCCAATTGGTCAGGAAGCCTAGGTTCTCTAACAGAGTCAAAATCCATGCAAGGTATGTCCGGATTAATTGAATAGACTGAGCCAGAATGAAAATGCCATCTAAATATATTATAAGATGTGAGCTTGGTGAAGCACCATGGAGCCGAAGACAGTCCGAATGGGAGGCACCTGAACCTCTATTTACTGCCCTACCATGTAAATTGCAGGAAGTTCTCGATCTTGATGTTGTACTGGGATAGGCACTGTGAGATATGCCTCCTGCAGATCCAATTTGGCCATCCAATCTGCTGGTTGGAGAAGATCCCTTAAACAATGCTCTCCTTCCATCTTTGAAGTGCTGAAATGCTCATAACTATTGAGCAGTCTCAAATTTATCACTGGACGGATACCTTTGCCTTTTTTGGGAAACAAGAAAAGGTTGCTCACGTAACCCAGGGTATGTGCCAGAATCTCTACAATTGATTGACCACAGAGACAAGGTCTGTGTCTCATTGGGAAAAAAACAATTTCCCTTAATGGGGAACATTGAACAAGTAGAGAAAGGAAGTCTATGCAATACCCTTTCACAGTGTGAAGAACCTAAGCATCTGATGAAATGAGGGATCATACATGGGAAAAATGTGTGAGCCTGCCCCCCACTATCAGTAAGAAAGAATGGAAATTGTGAAGACGTCTTTGGAGCACCTCTTAGGCCACTAACAATCCAGGGTCGGCCACTTTGTGAGAAGGAGGTTGGTATAGTGCATTGTTCAAAGAAATCGGCTCGGCAAGTATAAGAGCCTTGGTTCTGTCTAAAAGAACTTCTGTTTGTTTAGCAGGACAAAGGAGCCCAATTATTTTACAAAGTTGTCCCCAAAGAGAAAACCTTTTGCCTGTGTTATCTGGCTCGTTCAGAGCCATAGTTAAACGTTTGGGCTCAATCTTGAGCAAGATCGATTTGTGGCGTTCTGTGACAACTGCTTCAAAGATCTTGGCTGCTGAGCCCAAGATGCCCAGGATTTTATCCTGACAGTTTTGCAATGAAAATCTAAGCCTTTAGATGGCTTCCATCCTGTCTTACTCAGGAATTGAATGATTTTAGGATTGACTGATAGCGTTTAACATGAGTCATCAGGGACTGTTCAGCGTGGCCATTCAGCCCGCAATTTATTTCACTTTGCCTTCTCAAAAGGCTTGCGTACTCTGGATGCAATATACTTGGCTACATGGTCTGAGGAGACCACTGGGTGACATAGGTCGTCAGGTTCGAATAGGGGTTCACATTGAGTGTCCAAGATCCTATCGGTGTCCCTGAGTCCGCATAATCTACCTAAATCTTGGTAGGTTTAACAGGACGTGTATCCCAAATGGGATTAGCATCCTCTTCATCAGTAATTTCATAATCAGGATCAGAAATATCCTCTGAATCCTTCATATAGGACTCAGGGAACTCCTCCTCAATATCACTGAGCTCAGATTGAGAGTTCAGTTGTGCTTTTGCCCTTTTCCAGTCTAGTCGATTTTGCCCGACTAGTAGCTCTTTTGCGCGGTGGTAAATTAATCGCGCCATCCGTGACAGGTATGGAACTGTCCATCTCCATTGTTTTGGAGGAGTGTTTAGCCTTACATGAGGCCTTGCGGCCAGGCTGAAGCAGAGCAGGTGTGAGTACAGATACACCTCCATATAGTACTCAGGGAAACTCCTCCTCAATATCCCTGAGCTCAGATTTAGAGTTCAATTGGGCTTTTGCCCTTTTTCAAAGTCTAGTCGATTTTGCCCGACTAGTAGCTCTTTTGCGCGGTGGTAAATTAATCACGCCATCCGTGACAGGTTTGGTACTGTCCATCTCTATTGTTTTGGAGGAGTGTTTAGCCTTATATGAGGCCTTGCGGCCAGGCTGAAGCAGCGCAGGTGTGAGTACAGGTACACCTCCATATAGAACTCGGGGAACTTCTCCTCAATATCACTGAACTCGGATTCAGAGTTTAATTGGGCTTTTGCCCTTTTCCAAAGTCTAGTCGATTTTGCCCGACTAGTAGCTCTTTTGCGCGGTGGTAAATTAATAGTGCCATCCATGACAGGTATGGTACTGTCCATCTCTATTGTTTTGGAGGAGTGTTTAGCCTTATATGAGGCCTTGCGGCCTGACACCAGGGTCTTGTCATTGTTTTTGCCATGGAAGTGTCAATTAAAGCCTGCATGTCAGCAGGATCGGTAAAGCAGAAATTCTGTCTCAATTCCAGAGATACCTGGAGAGGCTTCTACATTAATCTGCATGTTTGCTGTAGACCCAGAAGGCACAGAAAGATCCTGTCAGACTGCATCATAAATATACAAACAAACCTAAGGGGATGAATAAAGCAAAATAATACCAAAAAGAAAGGGTTGAGTAACCCTCAAGTAAAAAATAAATAAATAACTAAACAGGATAAAGAAATGAAAGTACTCACAATAGTGAAAAAATAGCAATGGTAATATAAAAACAAAGGAGCTGCCCGGCTGCCGCTATAACTAAACCCCAACTTGGATTTCTGGCAGTTGGTGGCAGAGCAGCAGCCACACAGATAAATTAAGGGAAAAAACAGCACAATGCCACTATTCAGGAGATAAAGATCCTCAAAGATGTCCCTGAGCCCCAATTGATGGTAATCTTGGGGCCAGGGAGGTCAGAGGGGAAATACATTATCAAAGGATATATAAAGCAGCATATAACAGATGCAAATGAAGTAAATAAATTAAATTAAGTTAAAATGAAGTAACTAAATATATTTATAAAACAGGAAAATATTATAATTAAAATGTAATAACTATAACAATTTTAAGCACAGTAATGATATGAATAAAAGTAAAGTAAAAGTTAAGAACCATGGGACCCAGTGTCACTTAACTGAGGGAGCAGCAAAGAAAGAGGAAGTAGTATACTGGACACCGCCTATTATGCTATAAAGAGGATGCTGATTGGCTGTTCCTGTTGCTAGGAAGATATACCTCATGTTATTTACTGGTTTCTTTTATACTGATTTAATGTTATTTTTCTTTGCTGCTGAGGTAAATAAAGAAAGAATGCAGCATAATAGGAGCCTCTGTGTCTTAATAAAATCTACTGTTAACAGAACATATTTATTATTTTGCAAATTTTTTTTTTTTTATTAAGGTAAATGCACAAAATATACATGCTAGTCAGAATTTATGTTTTTAAGAATATATGTGTGTGTAATGGATGCAGTGAGAGTATTTGATTAGTGAATGCAGTGTTTGTGTAGTGTGTGTGTTTAGTGGATGCAGTGTGTGTTTGTGTAGTGTGTATATAATGAATGCAGGGTGTGTGTTTGTGTAGTGAATGCAGTGAGTGTGTAGTGTTTATATAATCTATGCAGAGTGTGTGTAGTGTGCGTAAAGTGAATGCAGTGTGGGTATAGTGAATACAGTGTGTTTGTGTAGTGTGTTTATAATGAATACAGAGAGTGTGCATCTGTCTGTGTAGTGTGTATAATGAATGCAGAGTGTGTGTTTGTGTAGTGTGTGTATATAATGAAAGCAGAGTGTGTGTTTGTGTAGCGCAGGGATAGGCAGCCTCTGGCATTCCAGATGTTGTTGATTACATCCCCCAGAATGCTGGCAAAGCATCATCAGAGGTATAGTACAAAACATCTGGATTGCCGAAGGTTGCCTGTGCCTGGTGTAGTGTGTGTGTTTGTGTAAGTATGTAGTGTGTGTAAAATGGGGGGAAGGGAGGGAGAGGGGGATTTTTTTTTTTTACTTTAGAAAAAAAATTAAAAATACTTTTTTTGTCCTCCCTCCCTGCTTGTTACTTGGCCAGGGAGGGGAGATATGGCATTCCCTGGTGGTCCGGTGGCTTGGACTGTGTAGTGGGGGGCCCAGCAAGCTCTTACTTACCTTCTCAGCAGCTCCCCTGGAGGAAATGTAGTGAGGAGTGACGTTAGTGAAGGCTTTGTAGGTTGTGTTAGCAGTTTGAATTGGATCCTGAAGGATACAGGAAGCCAAAGTAATGATTGGCAAAGGAGTGAAGTGTGAAGGGGTTTGAATGTCGTGACAACACACCTGCCATTAAAGTGACCATATCATCCATTATCAATCATTTTGGAGTCGCAGAGATGACGTGGATCAATCAGAACATGTGTAAGCATATAAAATGCTATGTTGAGCCCTTATCCAGTGCCCCATCATGGTTTCTGCCTTGATACATGTTTAGTGCTTATTTTAAAGGATCACTGTAGGGTCAGGAACACAAACATGTATTCCTGACCCTATAGTGTTAACACCACCATCTAGCCCTCCCGGGCCCCTCATGCCTCCATAAATATAGTAAAAATCTTACTGTATTCAAGCCTGAAGCTGTTAATCTGCATGCTGTTAGACTCAGAAAAACAAGCAGTCTGCTGACATGTGGTAGCCTGATCCAATCACAGTGCTTCCCCATAGGATTGGCTGAGACTGACAAAGAGGCAGATCAGGGGCAGAGCCAGCATGAGTCAAACACAGCCCTGGCCAATCAGCATCTCCTCATAGAGATGAATTGAATCAATGAATCTCTATGAGGAAAGTTCAGTGTCTGCATGCAGAGGGAGGAGATACTGAATCACAGGATGCTGTGCACAGTGCTGCCCAGTGCTCTGCTGACAGTAGATCTGAGTGGATAGAGGAATATTATGCCTCCATCAACTCCGAAGTCCCTCTCAAAAAATACAGTATTTACATGAGAAAGGCTGCAGGGAGCTATAGTTCTCACCTGAACAACCTCATTAAGCTGAAGTTGTTCAGGTGACTATAGCGTCCCTTTAAGTCTCTCTTGATATATTTTGATATTGACCTTGGCTTGCTTGACTTTGAGTATTTCTGGAATCCTCACCTGGCTTGTTATTTCCTTTATCTTTATTTCTATTATCCTGACATTGGCTATTCCTGACTTTGTCTTTCTCACAAGTCCTGCCTCTCTAAAGCCAGGTAATACGTTCAACGCTGTATTTAGGCACTTTCAGCGGGGCAGCAAAAAAGCAATCCCCAATCGCCCTGGAAGATACCAAAGGTAGGGAGAGGCTGGGTGGATTTCTATGTAAAAAAAAAAAAATTATGAGTGTGTTACTGTGGGTGTCTGTTACTGAGTGTTAGTGTGTGCATATGCACACTTGTGTCAGTGTATGTATGCGTGTCTGTCAGCTAGTGTATGTCTGTCAGTGAATGTTTGTGTCTGACACTGAGTGTATTATGTCTATCAGTGAGTGTTGTATGTGTGTTTCTGAGTGGGTGTGTCTGATACTGAGTGAGTGTGCATCTGTGAGTGTGTATGCATTTCTGTCATTGAATGTGTATCTGTTAGTGCATGGGTGTGTCTATCAGTGAGTGTGTATGTGTCTGTCATTGTGTGTATGCCTATTAATGTGTATGATTGTGTCAAAGTGTGTGTTGGTTAAACAGTGTGTGTGACAATAACTGTGTATCTGTCAGTAAGTGTATGTCAGTGCATGCATCAATGAGGGCGTGTGTCTGCCAGTAAGAGAAATTTGGAAGGAGTGTACCTGAGTTTTGTCATGTCCAGGGCAGCACAAAAACAGAATACACCACTAAATATGTCTATTTAGAACCTATGTTGGTGGGATTTGCCATTTCCTGTAAGTTGGGGTATGACCCTGTGACAATGGGTCGGTAGCTAGAAGGAGAGGTAGCATTAATAGATGGCTTTTTAGGATGGGGTTAAAAACTGAGGGAAGAGGGAAAAATGCTAGCAGACAAAGAAAGGTTGAAAATATGCATTAAGACCACGGAAGAAGATTGGACGAGGGGAGGGGATCTAGAAAGCAAGCAAGTAGTGGGGCGAGTGGGCAGGAGAAGTTTAGAGACCTCTAGCTCAGAGACAGGGGAAACAGAGTTAAAGGTGGAAGAAGGTAAAGAATGGTAGGCAAGTACTGAAGGGGCGATTGCATTTCTAACTTGATTGAATGCAATCTAAAAATTTGCAAGCCAAGTGACATGCAAAATCATTAGCTGTGTGGTTAGTTAATGGTGAGATCACAGTGTGGCGAAGAAGGGAGTTAAAGGTATGAAAGAGGCGTTTGGGATCACAAGAGTAGGTGGCGAGGAGGACAGAGGTAAAACACTCGCTTGTCAAGGGAAAGGGCAGAAAGTATTATTACCGTGGAGCCCTGTTAAACATTCATACAAACCAGCAATATGGAGCTCCTAGACACCGGGGACATTGGAATATGAAAGAGGGACTGAGAGATTTGGGCCCAAAATAGGTACAGTTGGGCGGTATAACAGCAACCCTCTTACATTTTCATCTCTAGCTCAGCATTGATGCCTCCAAAGCAGTTTGACAGACATTTTGCAATACTACTACAAAGAGCTACAGTGGTTATGGTGCCCAGTGCACCACTTTAACTCTGCAACTAATAGAGGCGACATGCTGCCTGGAGCACTTTTCATGCAAAGCGCCACAGGATGAACTTGCTATGTTATATTTCACACACACCATCACCCAGAGGGTCATAGAAAGAGAAATAACGCTCTGCCCCGGCCAGTTGGTGATTTTGGAAACCTCACACTATCCCACAGCTTTCTCACAGAGGGCTTGCTCTAACCGCCTCACACTGCGCCTTCCCTGCGCAGCCTGGCTTCAGTCGGGACGCTGCACTTTGTGTCGCCGGCTGTGATTGGCTCCCGAGTAACCCCCAGCTTATAACAAAGCGTTTCATTGGTCTCCGCAGCGCAGCGTCCGGAAGTAGTCCGTTGCCGTGGTTACCATAGCTGTCGTACCTAGCTGTAACCGTCTGCTGGGCCTGCAGGAGCGACCGGGAACCTACCGTGCGAGCAGGTCAGTCCTCCATCACAGCCTGGCTTCATTTATTAGCATTTCATCAATGCAGATGTTTGTTTCCCTTCTAATAGCGGGATGGCAGCCAGCTGGCAGAACAATTCGCTCAGCTCCGGTCTGTTTATATAAAGTCACCGTGTATAATCGCATTTACTGCCTTTATCCTTCATGGTGCACCCCATTTTGGAAAGAACAAACCCGGTAATTATGGTTTAGCAGGCTTCTCCAAACTCCGGCCCTCCAGATTGCGCTGAACTACAACTCCCATGATTCTATGAATGAAATAGGCTGAGAATCATGGGAGTTGTAGTTCAGCGACATCTGGAGTTTGGGGAAGCCTGGTAAAGTATACAGCTGCTGCAGAGGGGTTTCTCTAGAGAGTAATCTAATAGGATGAATGGCTACTAACCTCTTGCACACCAGCTGCTGGAATATATGGTTCCCATGATGTTAAGCCAACTATGTAAATGCTAATAATAATAATAATAATAATAATAAATAACTTTCCATCAATTCCTAAGTTTAGTTACAGGGCCAGTCTAAGCACCATAAGCATGTTGCTTATAGTACCTTGAGTCCACTTTGATATCTGTGACTGAGCTGTAATGGTACTTTATACAATAAATTACTGCTGCTCAACACAGACAACAAGGGATGTCATTCCAGCAGCCTGGGGGACTTAGTTCAGGGTTACTAATGTTCTGTTCTGGCACTGTTTGTGCATGCTGCTGAGAATGCCACACACCCAGGAGGGTGAGCATGCACGAAACAGTGAATTGGGCTGTATGTAAAATGACAGCAGCTGTCGGTTGGCTGATATCCGTTTAAAATGTACCTGTCATGGTATAGGACACTTTATATTAAAGAAAATAAAAACAAATAATTTATCAATTTGTTAGCAATTAGGAGAAAGGCCTATTTATAAATAGATTGCACCTACAATTGTTAATGAGTTATTTGCCATAGACCCCTCCGTCAAAGAATTGACTGACAAAGAAAGAAGGAGAACCCTCCTGTAGACAGAATTCCTGCTCTTTAGCACACCAGTGCATGTGCAATGGTTACCTCCTGCCAGTAAGCCCTGCTAAGTTGAGGATAATATGTCATTCCATTTTGACACCTACGCACAGACCAATCTAATCAGACAGTGCACAGGGAATTTGACTGGAGAGGGGATTTACAGTAATGTGGCACTCACAGAACTTCAGACATGGTGGTGCTACATTGAAAGTAAGTATGGTTAAAGAGACTATAGGCACACAGACCACTTCAGCTCATAGAAGTGGTCTGGGTGCAGTGTCCCCTGTCCCTTAACAATGCAAAGGTAATTATTCATCCTTTCACTAGACGGACTTCCGTGCTGTTAGGCGACTTTTGTTCGAAGGAGGGGGACCAGCAAAATGTTTGTTTTCCAGGTACTATAGTTTACCTTTAATATTCAAAATATTTTAAATGAATATGTAATTTATATGTTTTCTATTACCATGAATCTGTCATGACAGAGTCACTTTAAAAAGCAGCTCAGATCATCAATTGATGATTTTCAACTTCATTGAATACCTGAATTGTCTGGAAAGTGATTTTCATATTTTTTTTTTGGCTAAAATACATTAGTTGTCAGTGTAAAAAGTCTGCATTTAAGCAGTTTTTACATTTTGGCTATTTTAGCATAAAGTTTCAAATTCACTTTTATGTATGTATTTTGTTTGTAATTCGCATTGCATTAAAATGGTTGGAGATCATTCTAAATACTCCCCATAGAAACGTCCTCAATATTGGTTATAGTGTTGTTTGTCATCATACTATTGACATATGCAGAAGGATTTTGGTGTAATATTTATCTGACACAGATTGATTAATTTATGCAATTTGCAGTGAGTGTGTGTGTCTGTTTAGGTTATTGGCCCCCTCCTATCGCATGGGGAAGGTGTTTTTACCCACTCCATGCTGGTCTCACCATGACTGGCCCCACTTTCCTGGCTTGGATCATCAATCTTTCCTGGCTTGGATCATCAATCTTTCCCATAGGAAAGCATTGAGAGGCTATAACGCATGAATCTATGTATCTCTATGGCTAACATTCAGCACCTCCATGCAGAATGTGGAGACTCTGAATGTAGGTGCTGAACACTGTACAGCTCTGGACTAGGAATCGCCTCTAGTGTCCGTTTGAGTGACTGTCACTAGAGGTCTTACTAGACTGCAATGTAAGTGTTTACATTAAAACGCCTACAGGGACAGGATATAGACACCAGAACCACTACATTAAGTTCGTTCTGGTGACTATAGTGTCCCTTTAAGAATTGTATTTGTTGTTGAAAATGAAACTTTTTTTTTTTTAGATGGCTCCTAGATTCCAAGCAAATGTGTCAAGCCCTGCCGTAGATACTATCCTGTACTATGAGACGCTATCCTGTCAATATAAGAGACATTATCATTTCAGTTTTTACAGTTAGAAATTTTCATAGATGGATTTGATGAGTCTGTCTCATTTTGGGGCATTGTAGTGGTTTGACTGTTCTAATTATCTCTTAAAGGCCTACAATTTGGGAAAGAAGACATTCCAGGCTATCTCATATGGTGTACATTGTGCTTTAAACATTTTCTCAACAGTTTATGCCAAAGTTTGTAGAAAAAGAATGTTGTGCATTTTTTACACGTACGTTGCATTTTTGCCAGGTATTTTGTAAATCTGATGTATTCCACTGTGATAAAAAAAGGCTGGTGAGTGGTGCAGAGTAGAGCCTATATGTCTCCTTCAGTAGGGATCTCATCCAATGTGTCTAGGGCCTGTTCCTTTGAGGAGGCTGACAATGAGTCGCCATTTTCATTTGGTGGGAAGGTTTCAGGGGCCTTTGCAGATTGGAACATTAGATCTCCTATATCCTGGGTACCTGGAAATTGTATAGGTCCCTGGCGTGCTGGACTTTTTTCCCATACTAGTCAGTGGCTTTTATTGCTTTTAGGTGCAAACATAAAGCTTTCAAGTAGGCTAAAACAAGCTTTTTGTCTCAGAGCTCCACTGCAACACCTTTGCTCCGTTCGGCTGCGAGCTCCACTCCATCTATGTCTCATTATGAAGCATTTTAGCAGTTTGACTATTCACATTACTCCATGAAGGCCTACCATTTATGAAATAGATTCTCCAGGATACCTCATAGTGTGTATTTTGTGTTTTAATGTTTTGTATTATTTTCACCAGTTGATGTCATTGTTTGTAGAAAATGTGTTTTTGTTTTGTTTTTGCGTATTTTGACATGCACATTGCATTTTTGCTGGATATATTGTAAAAAACACAAATTATGCTCAGCTATATCTTCTGAGTACAGCAATACACCCAATGTATGCCTTTGTCACTATTTTGTCATATTACATAGATTTACATAGAGTAAATCTTTAATGGAGCTCTGTCTCATTTTGGAGTATTCTAGCATTTGCTAGTTCAAACTTTCTCACAGAGGTGTACCATTTCTTAAAGAAGACACACCTATTATTGTGTCTCTAAGCTATGTGTTCTGAGTACAGCAATACCCCCATGTGGATATGTGGATGTTCTAAGGGGAAAATATGAGATGCGTCCATTTCAGTTTTTTTTTTTTTTTTCTATCTTTCAATTTTGTTATTGGGTCCATGTCCCCAATTTAAGGAAAGTTCTAGCAGGTTCTTATTCAAACTATCCCACTACGGCCTATAATGTTTGTTAAAGATAACATCTCATGGTATCTGAAATAGAATATTTTCATCCTAATTGTATAACAATATTTTATCTAGTTTGTACCGAGTATAGTGGGAATAAGTGTTTTTGTAACATTTTAGAGTATTTGAGGAGCCCGTTGTTGCAAATTACCCCACAAAAGCCTACATCTATTTTGAAATATAAGCAGGTCATTAATTCAAATTATGAACAAGGGCATACTATTTCCAGTGAAAGGGGGACTATTTTTGGCGTAAAATTATCAGCGTCACTGGCAGCTCTAGGGGAATCCTGTTTTTCTCCTGTGTGCTTTGCAGGTTCAGGGAAATTCAGCTGGTGAAATTTTGAGGCACTGTCACTGTCTAAATTCTGCTGTAAGCCTCCTCTGCAGTGAACTTCCTAAGCATTTTTTATATTTTACACAATAACGTTAAAGGACCACTCCACAGTCAAAAACATGCCTGCTCACAGAAATCTGCTCTTTTATTTGCCTTGTGTGTGGTAAATCTTAAAATAGTAACCTATGCAAAGACAGGATGGAGAGGGGCAGTAGAAGCTGATTTCCATTCTTCCAACACTTTGATCACAGACTGCATCTCTTCTGTGGGGCTTTTTTTCTGGGTAGTTGGCTGACAAACTTCTCATTCAAGTGGGCAATTAAGAGGCGAATTTTAAACAAGTTGTCATACTTTGGATTACATCTTTGTATTCACTCGCTATTATCATTAAAATGCATAAACCGTAGTAATGTCTCATCTGCATCTCTTCATAGTTTATGAAAAGATTCGGGTGCAACAGATTGGATTCTTTGTCCAAATCAAGCGAATAATAGGCTTTTTCATGATCGATATTAACATTGTGAGTGTCCAGAATTTCATTATATCAATTTAAATATATCATTATTTCAAAGATACTGATCAGCGCAGAGGTTGGTTTGCATTACAATCTTCCCTAAAATATCATCTCCCAGAAACAACTTCATAAACTCCACTGGGTCATAGCTGGACACATCAGCCTGTATACCTGGACTAGCAGTAAATATATGGATAATGGGTAAAATCATTGGAGGGTACCCAGTCATATGCGTCTTGGGCAGTGTCCGGGGAATCCATGCTTGCCTCTTAGTCAGGCACATATTTGCAGTCATCTTTTGCCTCTGAATCAGTCGTTAAAATTGTATAAGCCTCCTCGGCAGTAAACATTTTAAGCATTTTCGGATTGAACTTTAACTAAAACTAAACATTCTTTAAAACTTAATTATTTTTCTTTTAACCCCTAACTAACCTAATACTTAATCTCTCAATTTCCCACTTATTTCCATCCACCCAGCTAACTAAACCACCAAATTAAAATGAATAAAATACAAAATGAAAACATTTAACCACTGAGGGGTAAAAAAAATATCAAAGTTAAACCCTCAGGGTAAAAAAACAACAAAAAAAGTACTGTTATCTGTATTATGATCACTGCAAGCAGTTATCAAAGGGCAGGAAATGGTTAAAGTCAGGTTTAGAGCGCTAAAAGGGGTTTTCATTTCACTGAAATAATTCTATTACTAAAAGCACACAATGTATCTCTCCTATCAGTCTCTCTGCTTCACAAGGAGGTAGAGGGAGTCTGATTAGATGTCCCAGCAGCACTGTGATCTGTTATTGGCTGTCGCAAAGATCACGTGTGCTGTGATGGCGTAATCGAGGCGATCTGGCGTTAATTTTAGTCTTGATGGAATAATTCCATCATGGGTCCTCTTGGAAAAATTGCGTTAGTGGCCTTTAAGGGGTTAAGCTAAAATAGTTTTTTTTATGCTTATAGTATCCCTTTACTATTAAATATTTATTTTTTTGCTTACTGGCAGGGCCGGTGCAAGGATTTCTGCCGCCCTAGGCAAAGATCCATTTTGCCGCCCCCTCATGTCACTAAGTCACTGACTGACACTCACACACTCTGACACTCACACACTCTGACACTCACTCACTCTGACACACTCACTCACTCTGACACACTCACTCACTCTGACACTCACTCACTCTGACACTCACTCACTCTGACACTCACTAACTCATTGACACTCACTCACTCACTGACACTCACACACACTCACTGACACACACTCACACACTCACTGACACACACTCACTGACACACACTCACTGACACACACTCACACACTCACTGACACACACTCACTGACACACAGACATACACTCACTCACTGACAGACATTCACTCACTCACTGACAGACAGACACACACACACACACACAGACACTCACTGACAGACACATACAATCACTCACTGACCTACATACACGCACAAATAAACACTGACATACATTCACTCACTGACAGACAGAGACACACAGACACTGACAAACAGACATACACTCACTTACTGACAGACACACAAACACACACTCTCTGACAGACCTACACTCACTCTCTGACAGACCTACACTCACTCTCTGACAGACGCACACACAGATACTCTGACATACATACATACACTCACTGACATACATACACTCACTGACAGACATTCACTCACTGACACACAGACATACATTCACTCACTGACACACAGACATACACTCACTCACTGACAGACATTCACTCACTGACATACATACACTCACTCATTGACAGACATTCACTCACTGACATACATACACTCACTCATTGATAGACACAAACACTGACAGACAGAGACACACACACACACACACACACACACACACAGACACTTACTGACAAACAGACATACACTCACTTACTGACAGACCTATACTCACTCACTGACAGACACACACACAGACACTCACTGACATACATACTGACAAATACACACACAGGCAGACACTCACTGACACACACACACACATACACACACACTCACTGACAGTCAAAGACTCACCTCCCTGGGGTCCAGGGTGGGGTAGCTCCTCACTCCTCCAGTGCGCCGTTTACTATGCCAGGGCTGGAATTACGTCATATTCCTAATATAGCTTCGGGGGCGCCCTGAGATGGCCAGATGGATACCTCCTGGGCCCCCTGTGACAGGGCTCCTCTTGGCGCCCCCACATTAGGGCGCCTTGAGGATCGGCCTAGTGCAGGGGGCGGCTCAAGAGCCGCTCAAGAGCTGCTCACCCAGCGCTGCGGCCCCAGACAGGGGGAGCCCACCAGGAAACATCCCGGTGTACAACCCCAGCAGGCCGGTGGCGCCGGCCCTGCTTACTGGTTGATGTTTGCCCTGTCTTTGTGAATTATATGGCTGTTGGGAATTCTGTATTATGTGCTTTTATGTTTTCTTTTAATGAGCATTCTTGAGGTTTTTTTTTTTAATGGAGATTATCTTTTAGTTCTATTCTGTTTTGAGGCGTGAGCACATTGAGGGCACAAGTGACAATTATATTGTATATTAATGTTAATAACTATGTTGGCAGCCCTTGCTACAGTGTGTTTGATTTTGGTTTAATAACATTGTGTCCATTTAGATTCATGAGCTTGAGGGAAGAGGTGTTCTATGTCTATATACCTCCCGCATTTACATTTATCTGCCATATAAAGGACCACTATAGTGCCAGGAAAACTCGTTTTCCTGGCACTATAGTGCCCTGAGGGTGCCCCCACCCTCAGAGTCCCCCCTCCTACTGGCTCTACGGTGAGGAAGGGGTTAAACTTACCTCTTTCTCCAGCGCTGGGCGGGGAGCTCTCCTCCTCCTCCGCTGAATGCGCATGCGCGGCAAGAGCCGCGTGCGCATTCAGCCAGTCTCATAGGAAAGCATTCACAATGCTTTCCTATGGACGCTGGCGTCTTCATAGTGAGAAGCACGCAAGCGCCTCTTGCGGCTGTCAATGAGACAGCAACTAGATGCTGGATTAAAGGAACACTATAGTCACCTAAATTACTTTAGCTAAATAAAGCAATTTTAGTGTATAGATCATTCCCCTGCAATTTCACTGCTCAATTCACTGTCATTTAGGAGTTAAATCACTTTGTTTCTGTTTATGCAGCCCTAGCCACACCACCCCTGGCTATGATTGACAGAGCCTGCATGAAAAAAAAACTGGTTTCACTTTCAAACAGATGTAATTTACCTTAAATTATTGTATCTTAATCTCTAAATTGAACTTTAATCACATACAGGAGGCTCTTGCTGGCTCTAGCACGCTATTAACATAGCAGGGGATAAGAAAATCTTAATTAAACAGAACTTGCAATAAAGAAAGCCTAAATAGGGCTCTCTTTACAGGAAGTGTTTATGGAAGGCTGTGCAAGTCACATGCAGGGATGTGTGACTAGGGTTCATAAACAAAGGGATTTAACTCCTAAATGGCAGAGGATTGAGCAGTGAGGCTGCAGGGGCATGTTCTATATACCAAAACTGCTTCATTAAGCTAAAGTTGTTCATGTGACTATATTGTCCCTTTAATCCTAATATAAACATAGCAGTTTCTCTGAAACTGCTATGTTTATAGAAAAAAGGGTTAACCCTAGCTGGACCAGGCACCCAGACCACTTCATTAAGTGCCTACAGTGGGCCTTTTAAGTGTAATCTTTCTTGGCAGATAATCATACCTGGTTATAGTGACTTCTTAAGAAGGGACCTTTGGATGTAGACACTGTAATTGTATTTGACATTATAAAATTTGTGACTGTCTATTAGATATTTCACTGGTTTAGTAGATACACTCTAACGCTGGAAGTCCTTATGCAGAGTGTGCAGGGCTGGCGCTAGGTGAACTAGGCATTCGCCTAGGGCGCCAGCCTGCTAGGGGCACCCACCGGGATATTTCCTGGTGGGCTCCCCCTTTCTGGGTCCGCAGTGCTGGGTGAGAGGCTCTTGAGCCTCCCCACTGCCCAGCGCCGGTCTGCAGGTGCCCAAAAGTGGCGGGGCCTAGAGGATCCCTGTCACAGGGGGACCAGTAGGTGGCCATCTGGCCACCTCAGGGTGCCCCGAAGCTCTACTAGTTAAGGCAGGTGCCTGCTCTGCCGAGAAATACCAGAGAAATGAGCGGAGGAGAGGGGGACAGGAGGCAGGCTGCTCTATTGTAGGCGGCAAGGTAGGCTGTTCTTGTACCTATGATGTCATTCCGGCCCCGGCATACTAAACAGCGCGCTGGAGGAGTGAGGAGCTGCCCCACACTGGACTCCAAGGAGGTAGGGAGGCAGGGAGGCTGGATGTCTGTGTCTGTCTGTGAGTGTTTAAATGTCAGTGAATGTGTGCCTCTGTGTGTTTGTCAGTGTGTGTGTGTGTATCTGTCTGTGTATGTCTGTCAGTGAGTGTCTGTGTGTGTGTCTGTCTGTCAGTGAGTTTATGTGTGTCTGTGTGCCTGCCAGTGAGCGTGTGTGTCAGTCAGTAAGTGAGTGACATGAGGGGGGGGCAAAATGGATCTATGCCTAGGGCGACATAAATCCTTGCACCGGCCCTGAGAGCGTGAAGACGTCCAGCATCAGATACCAGACCAAAGGTCTGTTTCGATTTAGGAAGCCCTCTAGTGGATGTCCGGTAGACAACAACTGGATGCAGACTTAGAGCTGCAATGTAAGCACTACATACAAAATGGACACTACACCCAGACCACTTCAATTAGCTGAAATTGTCGATGTGCCTACAGTGTCCTTTTAAGCTTTGTGAGATTTGAGATTGTAAAGATAATATTTTACTTGCTTATCAGATAGTTCCTTCCCTTTAGATTTCCTCTGTATTAGTGTATGCAGACCATGGAAGGGTTAAATCTTTGAGGTGCTTGGAAGTCAGGTAGTTTTAACCTTGCTATTCAAGAATGAACTTTGTTTAAATCTATGCAGACCTTCAAAGGGTTAAGGCATTGATTTAATGCTTTCTTATGGGGAGGTCCAATGCGCGCGTGGCATTTGCCGTGCATGCAAGTTAGCGTTTGCTTGTCGCGGGATGTAGAAGGGGCAGAGCATTGACCCAGGGACATAGGCACTGGGAAAAGAAAAGTAACTAAAGGGTTTTTAACCCATTGTTTACCCGGACAGGAGGGCATGAGGGAGGGGGGGAAGTAGAGGGATCTTTTGTGCCAGGAATACAGCTGTGTATTCCTGGCACTATAGTATCCTTTAAGATTGTTCACGTCACGATGAAGCTGAACATGAGGAAGCACTTTTAGTGGCTTCTCTGAAACAGCAATATTTTACATTGCTTGTTTGAAAAATGGGACAGCATCAATGCAACAAAGCCACTTCATTGTGGTGAAGTAGTTTTGGGTAAAAGGCCACTATCCTATATTTCTCTTGGGCTGCCTGTAGGTGGTCTCTTTTGCTTCCCTTTAGAAATTAATTATTTGGCATACGGCCTATTTATTATTATTATTTTAAGGTGGGAGAAAACCCTGTTTTTAATTTTTTTTTTTTTTACAATTTTATTCTTTCTTCATTCACAGGCAATAATTCAGTGTACAATACAGTGAGTAGAGAAATGGTGAGATAAAATCAATATAGACAAAAACAACAGTACTGCATGTAACATGTATAGGTATTAGGCATTCTAGGCCATGGGGTTTTGTATTACAGTGGGACCTCGGTTTACAAACGCCTCGGTTAACATCATTTTCGGTTTACAAATGAAAATCCATTGAAAATATTGCCTCAGTTTACAATTTCTTTTCGCAATACAAAGCAAGTTTCCCCAGAATGCATTGCACCTTGGAGGTTTATAGCACCGCCCTCTGCATGCTGGAGCTTGTGGGTAGCACGTGGCGTCAAGTATGGAGGTGTTGGAGCGGCTTTTGCATCGAGTTTTGGAGCCATTCTGGAAATTGTTTGCGGTTGTTTTGGGACTTTTTGGTGCATTTCTCAAGCTGTGGAAAGGTAGGGAGCTGAGCTTTGTCGTTTGCAAACCTTTTATTGTGTGTTATGCATTGTGGGTTGGTTTCCATGCCAGCTCATTTTGACTTTTTTCTGACCTCCAGAACTGATTTCATTGGTTTTCCTATGGGACACCGCGTTTCGGTTTACACATTTTTCGCAATAAGAAACGTCCCGGAGAACGCATTAAATTCGTAAATCGAGGTCCCACTGTATATAATAAATTGTGTAGTAAGTTGGATACTGCATCCGCTACATCCTACATCCGATGCATCCTCTGTAAGCTGAGAAAATGGTAGATAGTAGAAGGGATACTTAAGGACATGGTGCAGAGTACGCCTCCAGCATGAAATATTATAATCAATAAGAGTTGTACCTCCAGGTTGCTTGAGGGGGCTAGAGACCCCACTTAATCGGTGGTGGAATAATTAGCGTGACTTTATTGAGTAGTGGGGGGGGGGGGAGATATATTGTTGGGTCCTTGTGACCATTAAGGGTGCCAGTTAGGCAGTGTCAAAGCAATTTGAGATTTAAACTTGTGCTATTAACACAGGAAACATAAGGTATAATAACTGAGAAGCACACGTGAGTATGCGCAAAAGGCACAATAGTGAGATCCTAGGCGCCATCAGGGCACTGGCTGGTATAAACGGTGTGACCCTCTCCGGGTCGCAGGTTGCTAAAGTTGGCTAAGGTGCGGCCTCAGGGGACTGTAGAGATAGTCCGAGCTGGAGTAGGATACCAGTTGTCTCCGAAGCCTCCAGAACTTTAAGGGTCTGCGTGTCCCGGTTGATTAGCAGACAGCGAGGTGTACCCCATTTGTATGGCACTTTGTTAGTGGCTAGTGCCTGTGTGAGCAGTCTCAAAGATCTGGGCCAGTCCATTGTGGCCTTAGATAAGTCCGGGAAGAAGGTGAGGGTATGCCCTTCAAACTTGAGTGGTGTTTTGTTGCGGACAGCCGCCATAGGGCCGTGCAGTCTTGCCCTTGTTGGAAGTGGAGAATCTTGTCTCTGCCTGTCTTCTGTGTGCCCGTGGTGGGTCCCGGATTGCAGTACCATCCATCCAGGGTCATAGCCTTGGCTTGCTTGGATGAGAAAAGCGTAGATAGTAATCTGTGGAAGAGGTGCGGGAATTCTGCTACCTCCATAGTATCAGGTAGGCTTTGAACTTTGGTGTTCTTTCATCTCTGCTTGTCTTCTAGAACCGCCATGTGGTCATTATTTTTCCTTTGTGAGTGTTGGCGTTTTGCTAGGATCTGCTCCAGGGTGGCGATGCGGGTCTCGTGGGCTGCCGTAATGAGCTCTCAATTGTGGAGATGAGCCGAGAACCTGTTTACCTTCTCTCAGACCTGCCCGATGTCGGCTGCGATGTTGCGGCTCAGTTCGTCAAATAGGCCCCGCAGAGTGTCCCCGTGACCAGAGGATTTCCGACAGGCTTCTCTGGTGAGCGCGGCTTTTTGTTGTCCGGCCGGGCCCGAAGAGTAACTCTCCACACAGGGATTCCTCACTTGTAGTGCGGGATGGCGCATCCTAGAGTGGCACCATGACAGGCCTCTGCGAAGAGTGCGGCCTCCACAATAAATTCCCGATATTGGCCATTGTAGGGGGTCGATCTGGCTTGCACTTTTTGCTCCGACGTCCCATGACTGCAGATATGTGGCAGCTTCAGTTTTTGCCTATGATGTGCCGATTTTTCTTGCTTTTCAGGCTCTTTTTGGTGCAGATGCACTCGGAGGTCCAATAATGTGCTACTTGTCAGTATGGCCGCTGGCTCCGCCCCCCAAAACCCTGTTTTTAAAAATTGCTTGCATAATATATAGCTGGAATTTTATGCTCTTTAAAAAGAGCAAAAATAGTTTTTGCCACTTAAATTTCCTTCTAAATTTGGCTTGGTGAAAAGCATGTTAAGGACATGTGTTATTTGGAAAGTACATACCATCATAGAAGAGCTGCAGTAGCTGTAATACAGTATGCATCACTCAGTGCTTTCCCTGCTGAGTGCTCCATGTGGAAGGCATTTCCTGTGTGAGAGGCTGTTGGTGAGTAGATGGGAGATGACACACAAACCCATGAAACACAGACAGTACAAGTGCTGGGGCAGAAATGAGTTTACACTCTTTTAAATTGCTCCTCCGGCTTTGCTATCAATCATTGGAGGCTGGCTGTACTACAAAAGACACTGGCTAAGGCTCCTGGACTCCTCTCCCCACCAGCATACATAAGTTCCAAAACGTCACCTTATAAGTGTTGTAGACAGGTACCTACTGTGCCTAATGGGAAATCCAACCCTGATTGATACCCTGCCATTTACACTAGAGTTGTTTGTTTTAACATGACTAGAACACTTCACTTTAACAAACCTGAGTGCGAGTTTACATCTTGAAATAGTCAAATGGAATATAACATATGCATGGTTTTGCAACATTCAGTTTGGCAGAGATCCCAGACTGTGCAACAGCAATATTGCTAAATATTTACTAGATATTCATTCGGTGGCATACTCTGACTGTTCCTTTATTTACCACAGCATGAATCTAAGTAATGTTAGAAATTCTGGGTTTGGCTGTACCAGTCTAATCTATGAAAATTAAGTGGTGGGGGCATTTGTGCAATTGTAGGAAAAAATATAAAAATGTGTTCACCATTCATCTTCATGGGCAGTAGGTTGCAATTTTGATTTTGATTGGCAAAAACATATATGCTTAAAATCAGTTTTACACCAAACCGGAGGTCAGCTCCAGGGGCATATTGGCATTGTTACCATTAGGGCCTCTATAGTGCCTATGGTCCTCGGGAGTGCCTGTTTAAAGGGATTCTCTAGTGCCAGGAAAACAAACCCGTTTTTCCTGGCACTGCAGAATCCTTGAGTGGCCCCATCCAAATCCCTGAAGGGGTTAAAACCACTTCAGTGACTTACTTGAATCCAGTGCCGATTTGTTCCTTGGTGCGGGGGAGTTCTTATGCGCATGCACGGCAGACCTCCCCATTGGCAAGCATTATTCAATGCTTTCCTATGAGGATTCCGGCGACGCCGCAGGTCGTCATGCATAGCGTGAGGACGTCCAGCGTCCTTTAGGCTACCAAAAGTCCCTCTAGTAGACAGCCACTAGAGGAGGACTTAACCTTGCAAGTTAATTATTGCAGTTTATAAAAACTGCAATAATTACACTTTCAGGGTTAAGGGTGATTGGAGTTGGCACCCAGACAACTTCAATGGGCTGAAGTGGTCTGGGTGCCTACAGTGTCCCTTTAATGAAAGCTACTCCTGTTAACTTGTGGAAGCAGTTTATTTCTTTAGGTTGGGGGGATCATGGGTAGTGGCATTGCAAGAATTCCCTTCTGGCATCTCTGGCTGCTGGCGCACACTGTGACACGCACATGGCTGTGTGTTTTTCAGCATTTTAAATCTCACACAGAAAATGTTTTATCTTCCTTGATTAGTTTGACACAAAGTTTGAGCACCATTCATAAATTAAGCTACATGAAGTGGGCACTGTCTCACTGAGAGCTGAAATAGGGAAATTGGGATTGCCTGATAGATCAATTGCGGGTCTCTGCAAAAGCAGCAGATCTTGGGTACTTGCTGTAAACAAGTGTTATCCATATGATCACTTTATTTTTTTTTAATGCATGTTTACATTATTTCAAAATTACATTTAAAGCGGCACTGTCATGCCGAACTTACCTTTCCTCAATCTCTTCATCTTCTCCCCCTCTCTCAGGATCTGTTATTCTTTTCTTCCTGTCTTCTTTAGTTTTCTTTAAAATCATAAGACAAAGTAGGGACTCTTTGCCTTATGGAGGATTCCTCCGCTTGACCAGCTCTGACCAGCGGAGGAGCAAAGTGTGCTTCATTTCCGCTGGTCAGAGCAATTTTCCCATGATCCCTAGCTTTCCTCAGTGTTCCCACAATGCTTCCTGTCATTTTACACAAAACTGCCGAATTGCGTTCTAACTGAATGACAACAGTCTGTTCGTTTCTTTTAGAACGCAATTCGGCACTTTATTCGGATCAGAATTTCATTCTAATGAATGAAACTCTGATCCTATTCTTGCTGTGGCTGCATCTTGCAGCCGCTTAGTAGATAACTCCCTAATTCCCACGGTATCAGGGAGTTATCTACTAAAAGGCTGAAAGACCTAAATTGGTCTTTCAGCCAACTTTACTAATACCAAGTAAAAATTACTTAGTATTAGTAAGTAATATGCCCCTACTCGCTATACTGCGAGTAGGGGCATGTCTGGTAAACAGTGAGCAGCCTGTGGCTGCTCACTGTAAAAAAAACTATTGGCCCCCACCCCTAAACGACGGGTGGGGGCCCTAAAATAAAATAAGGGGGGAGACCAAATGACCTACTGCCCCCCCCCCGGCCCCCACCCCTGGGCGGCGGGTGGGGGCAATAATGAGGGGGGGGGACCTACTGCCCCCCCCGCCCCCACCCCTGGGCGGCGGGTGGGGGCCATGAAGATAATGAGGGGGGGGACCTACTGTCCTCCCCCCCCCGGCCCCCACCCCTGGGCGGCGGGTGGGGGCCATAAGGAGAATGGGGGGGACCTACTGCCCCCCCCCGGCCCCCACCCCTGGGCGGCGGGTGGGGGCCATAGTGAGAATGAGGGGGGGGGACCTACTGCCCCCCCCCGGCCCCCACCCCTGGGCGGCGGGTGGGGGCCATAATGAGAATTGGGGGGGGGACCTACTGCCCCCCCCGGCCCCCACCCCTGGGCGGCGGGTGGGGGCCATGAAGATAATGAGGGGGGGGGACCTACTGTCCTCCCCCCCCCGGCCCCCCCCCTGGGCGGCGGGTGGGGGCCCTAAGTCAATTACCCCCCCCCCAAGGTGACTAGGGGTCCCCAAGCCCCTAGTCACCCACCCCCACCCAAAAAAAAACAAGTCCCTACCTACCCCCCTCACCCTAAAAAATAGTGAGGGGGGGATAAAATAACTAACCTGTAAAATAAAATTAAACTTACCATTCGACGTCTTCTTTTTTCTCAAATCTTCTTTTTCAGCCCCAAAAAAGGCCAAATAAAAAACCATCATAACCGTCGAATTGAAAATAAAATAAAAATCCCGAGCGCAAAAAAAAAACCCGTTGAAAAAAAAAAAACCCGAGCGCAAAAAAAGAATCCATCTTCACCCATGGAGGGCTCCGCGCAGACTGAGCTCCGCAGAGCGGGGGAAGGCTTATAAAGCCTTGCCCCGCCCTGCAATTAGGCTAAGAACACTCTGATTGGTGGGTTTTAGCCAATCAGAGTGTTCTTTGTCAAAAGAACTTTCCCACGCTGTGTAAAATTACAAATAGCACTGTGATTGGATGGATTTCAAGCCATCCAATCACAGTGCTCTGTGTCATTTTACACAGCGTGGGAAAATTCAAAAGAACTTTCCCACGCTGTGTAAAATGACACAGAGCACTGTGATTGGATGGATTTATAAGCCTTCCCCCGCTCTGCGGAGCTCAGTCTGCGCGGAGCCCTCCATGGGTGAAGATGGATTATTTTTTTGCGCTCGGGATTTTTATTTTATTTTCAATTCGACGGTTATGATGGTTTTTTTATTTGGCCTTTTTTGGGGCTGAAAAAAGAAGATTTGAGAAAAAAGAAGACGTTGAATGGTAAGTTTAATTTTATTTTACAGGTTAGTTATTTTATCCCCCCCTCACTATTTTTTAGGGTGAGGGGGTAGGTAGGGACTTGTTTTTTTTTGGGTGGGGGGTGGGTGACTAGGGGCTTGGGGACCCCTAGTCACCTTGGGGGGGGGGTAATTGACTTAGGGCCCCCACCCGCCGCCCAGGGGTGGGGGCCGGGGGGGGCAGTAGGTCCCCCCCCCATTCTCATTATGGCCCCCACCCGCCGCCCAGGGGTGGGGGCCGGGGGGGGGGCAGTAGGTCCCCCCATTCTCATTATGGCCCCCACCCGCCGCCCAGGGGTGGGGGCCGGGGGGGGGCAGTAGGTCCCCCCCCCTCATTCTCACTATGGCCCCCAGCCGCCGCCCAGGGGTGGGGGCGGGGGGGGCAGTAGGTCCCCCCCATTCTCATTATGGCCCCCACCCGCCGCCCAGGGGTGGGGGCCGGGGGGGGCAGTAGGTCCCCCCCATTCTCATTATGGCCCCCTCCCGCCGCCCAGGGGTGGGGGCCGGGGGGGGGGCAGTAGGTCCCCCCCCCTCATTCTCACTATGGCCCCCACCCGCCGCCCAGGGGTGGGGGCCGGGGGGGGAGGACAGTAGGTCCCCCCCCCCATTCTCATTATGGCCCCCACCTGCCGCCCAGGGGTGGGGGCCGGGGGGGGGGTATAGCGAGTAGGGGCATTTGGGAGATTTTAATCTCCCTTGTGCTATTATGGGGGTCATATTGACCCCCATAGAGTGAGAGGGGGACCTGGGGGGCTTATGAAGTGGTGGGGAGCACTGCTCCCTGCCGCTTCTATAGTTACATATTACAAGGAGGGAGCTGCGTGCCGGTAGCTCCCTCCTTGTAATAAACTAAACGAACAAACAAACACCGATACATTGTGTTTGTTTGTTCGGCTGATCTTTCTATTCACTCATTCGCCTGTCTGATGAATGAATGAATAGCTGAAATTCCCGTTCGCATGTCCAGGTGTTTCACTGGGCATGTGCGGGAATCTCACAGTCTGCCTAGTGTGGGCTGATGACGTGTCCCACAGGGACTTCACCTACCCACACAAAGATGGCGGCGCCCTGGATATAGATCGGGGCAGAAAATAAGGATTAAAAAATAGGTAATGCTGGGGGCTTAGGGGCATTTGGGGGTGACTAGTGAGTCAATTGGATGTAGTGGAGGCGGGAGAGGGGTTAAAAAAAAAAACAGAATTCGGCATGACAGTGCCGCTTTAAATGGGATTTTATTTAATCTTACAGTTATATTGTATGTTTTTTGTATGTTTACTATATTTGAACAAATAAACTTGCTTTTCTATTTTATGTTTGTACTTCATTTTCATGTAATAATTACTATTAAAAAAAGAAAGAAAAAAAAAAAGACTGAACAGGGCAAATGTAATTGTAATTAAAGGGACACTATAGTCACCAGAACAACTACAGCTTATTGAATTTGTTTTGGTGAATAGTTACTATCAGAGAAAATGAATTGTTTACATTACAGCCTAGTGATAACTTCACTGGCCACTTCTCAGATAGCTGTTAGAGATCCTTCCTGAGTCATGGCTGCCTAAAATGCATCCAAACATTCAGTGTCTTGGCAAGGGCTGTGTTTGAATCATGCTATCTCTGCCCCTAATCTGCCTCTTTGTCAGTCTCAGCCAATCCTATGGGGATGCACTGTGATTGGATCAGGCTACCACTTCTGCTGATGTCAGCAGACTGCTTGTGTTTTTTTTTTGTTTGTTTTTTTTAGGCAAACAGCATGCAGATCTACAGCTTCTGGCTTGAATACAGTAAGATTTTGCTATATTTGTGGAGGCACAAGGGGCCCAGGGGGGCTAGATGGTGGTGTTAACACTATAGGGTCAGGAATACATGTATAGTGATCCTTTAATCAATGAAATACAAACAAACAAATTGCACAGATCAAATGTTCCATAAAATAAATAATTTACAAATAAGTGATTTAGAATTTTAGTGGCTGTAAATATTTCTACATTAGTATATTTAGTGTGTATATTAATTTACCCCCAAACTATAACAATGGTTTATTTCTCATTTTTACATGGTGTTTTTAACATTTTTTCTTTTTTTTTTTAAAGGTTTGTTCTCATAGATCCATTTGCTATCTAATTATATGAAAAGTGGCAGACAAGACTTAATAAACTTACCTTGAGATGTAATCAAGTTATATAGCTTTGTGTCTTTTATCACCAGCAAACAAAGAAAATAGCAAGGAAAGGGTACAAGCCGTTCTAATGCATAAATCTGCTAAAATTAAAATTACATTTGCTTGTCCAGACTCTCTCTTAGACATTTGCTTTATGGGAGGGGGAGGAAAGGTTTATTATCTGTGAACAATGTAAGGGTATTCAACTAAAATATATTTCATGGGGCTTTGGATCCAAAAAATGCTACTGTATATAGAAATTCTATCCGTTTCCTCTCTCCTAAATATTCTGTTTCACTATGAAATATGTCTGAAGTTTACAAATGCTTGTCAACCCATGAGCCAGATGAAAGGTAGTTCATGATTAACCTATTGATCTAAAAATAGTTGAAGATCCTGCTCCTGAACGTGCTGTTAAGAATACACAGTGCCTAACAAGAGATGGATGTTTATTAGGCCTCCTAGTTAGACACTGCGTGGTTATATGGAAAATGAGATAATAAGGGGAGGATACAAAGGGACCCTGGAGTGTTCCTGTAAAACTCTATCTTTATCTGATTTTAATTTTTATCCATTTATGTATGCAACTTTTCTAACAGTGCTGTGATGGTCCTTGTATATAATTTACTTAAGAATCTACTTGCTGTTTGTCGTAGAAGCTCTTTGATACTAGTTAGGCATTCTACAGAAAAATAAATACCTTTTTTATAAACGCGATTAAGTTCTAGTTGAACAATTTCCATAAATGTTCTAATTTCTTATTTTAATTTCTCTGAAAAGTTCAGGTTTTACTAATAAATTCATTGTTAGGCAGTCCACATATTTTTCTGTTTTCTTAGTTTAATGCACAGGGGTTTAAAGAAACACTCCAAGCTTTATTACCATCTGCAGTTTGATTGATTAAGCCATTTTTAGAACACTTTGACTTCTTACTTGAATTTTCCCAGGTGCCACTCCTGGTCATAGGACCTGCAGTTTGTATGTGCAGTGTTTCAACATACGGAGTTTTACACCTCTTGCTGTTAGAGGTGTAACTCCATCTCCTGCAGTATCATTGGGATGTCATTAGCCTGTCTGGTACAAGATGTCTTGAATGGCAAATGTCATTTTCTGTGCATATTTCTATGGGCAAAGTTACATTCATTGGCTGAGTGTGGTCAGCTAACACGCTAAGCCAATGAATGGCAACTGGATCGGTTTCTTATTTCTGCAGCTCTAAAGAGGTCAGAAGTGTGTGACAGAGCAGGAGAAGCGCCTCAGAGCCAGACAGGAACGCAGGTAAGGGGGCAAACTCTTACCAAGTAACTGGGCCAGGGTACTGCTGGTATCATAACCAATACAATGGGTACTATAGGCACCCAGACCACTTCATCTTTTTGATATGGTCTGGGTGCAGTGTCCCTGTCCTCTAAACCCTGCAATGTAAAACAATGCAGTTTCAGAAAAACTGCAATGTTTACATTGCAGGGTTAAGTCAACCTCTAGTGCAGGGGTAGGCAATCTTCGACACTTCAGATGTTGGACTTCATCTCCCATACTGCTGTTATATCCATAATGCTGGCAAAGCATCAGGGGAGATGTAGTCCACAACATCTGGAGTGCTGAAGGTTGCCTAACTTAGGGACTTAAGGGACACTATTGCGTTAGGAGTACATTTTTGATGAAAGAATTGGATTGGCAAAGATCGTCAATTCTGATGATCTCAGCCAAGGAGGTGGGACATGGGTGCAGCCAAACACTGCTCTGGCCAATCCACATCTCCTCATAGAGATGCATTGAATCAGTAAATCTCTAAGGCAAGTTCAGCGTCTCCACGTGGAGCGTCTGAGTGACTGCCACTGGAGGTATTCCTAGGCAGCATGTTGACCCTGCCTTTTCTCTGAAAATTAATGTAAAATAAGCCTTAGGATTTTTTCTGTAGTGGCCTGTAAGCGTAATAATTTTGTCCAGAAATAAATATACAAATTTTCTTCAATTTATTTATTTCTTCAATTGTGTTAACATTTACTATTGATGTCTCAAAATAAAATGATCAGTTTCCCCATCCAGCTGCTTGTTTGACATAATGTGAAAAGACTTGCCAGTTTTTCAAAATATAAAAGGAAACAAATCACAAAATGGCCTACTCCTTTATTGTGTTCTATAGATAATGCATTAAAAAAAATATTCAAAATCTGAACAGCTCCAAGATACTTGGCGCTACTAATTGGAATATAGGCATAAGCACCTTCAAATGAAAAACCTACTTTTGCCCTATAGATTTCCTTTTTCTGTGAACAAATTTAAAAAGCAGCAAATGATGAGACCCTACAGCAGCATTGATATTTGAGTACTGATTGAGGGGAAAACAAAGCCTGATATAGGCAGACGATTCCTTTATATTTTCTGATTGTTGGATAAGGCAGATGAACTATATTTTAAGCGGCACTGTCACGTTAAACTTTCCTTTCTTCTATTGTTTCCTTTTATTTTCCTCTCTCAGAATCTGTTCTTTTTTTTAATTTTTATTTATCTATGGTCTGATTTAGTTTTCTTTTAAACATAAGAGCAAGTAGGGTCAACATTGTATTTTTCCTACGCTTGACTTTCTTTGACCAAATGAGGAGCTTAATTCAGATTCATTTCCTGTGTCAGGGAGGAGGGTGAGTACTTTATCTAACACAGGAAATGGAGTTGACTCCAGCTCCTCCTTTGGTCAAAGTCAAGCGTAGGAAAAATACATGAGATAAAGTAGTCCCTACTTTGTCTTATGTTTTGAAGAAAACTAAACCAGAAATCAAGAAAACAAGACCAGATTCTGAGAGAGGAAGAGAAGAGGAAACAATAGGAGAAAGGTAAGATTGCGTGGCGCTTTTGAAGAGCCTCTTTGGTTTCCCATATGTTGTGCAGGTCTACTTTTGGGTGAACCTTTTATATGTCTGGTAGGCAATAATTCGCATAAATAACTTAGACCACACAATAAACACAGACACAGTTCATTTTATTTCAATGGGCTTGGCCGTGGTGTTTATTAAAGCTTTTAAAATACCACCAGTAACTTGATAACGGTAACATATTCAGGTAAACTTTTCACTTAACTTCAACTGTTACTTTCACCATCACTTAGTGCCAGTCAGTCATAACTAACCTGGCCGTCTTATAAATACAACCATTTAACACATATCCTTCATCAGAACTTGAACCTGAGGATGACTTTTGCCCCAAGCTTCCAACACCACGACATTACATATAAACAAATATAACAATTAGTGGGAGGGAGGGTGGGAGTCCGTAGGTGCTATTCCCATCCTGTAGAAAAGACAGCTGACAGGGATTGACTTGCACTGTCACCTTTTATACTTACCTGGTTTCCCGCTCTTTTTCTGGGTCACTGACAGCAACCAATCATCAGCCAGTTCTTGTCCCCAGCAACAGCTGTGTCACCTAATCTGCCCAGCTACTTGTCCCACTCTGCCCAACTTGATGATCAGGGGTCATGAACTTACACTGACCTATTAACCCTCTATTGCCACCATACATATATGCCACAGTGCTTAGTGCCTGTGGCCTCTTTTTAGCCATCAACATGCTAGTTTCTGATTAGCTGATTGGAAGAATACAGTGAATGTTGGTCTGGAAGTCAATGGTTGACTTCTTTAAGGTTTAACATATGACTACAAAGTTGACTTGTATTTGAATAAATAATTTAAAATATGTATTTTACCACCTATATCTGTATGGCTTGAATGTTGAATAATTACTGTCTGGATAGGAAGCAAAAAACATGAATATATATTTATTCTGTTTGGAATTTCATTATTTTCTATAGATCTTGCTAACATTTAAAATGTTTTATTGACAGTTTATACACACTGCTGCTTTGTAGCTTGCATTTATCACATTGGTAGCAAGCGCACTCCATCAGAACATAGAAACTTTCTTCTACAAGTCTGGGCAAGTTTGGGATCCAGTGCCCGAAAAGTACTTGGTGATTTAGCACCTTCTGATGTGAAATTAGATTTAGGAACATAGTGTTTTTCAAATAATCTATTAAAAATAATTATAATCAACTACTGCAAAGTAACATGTATATGTTTTTTTTAACATTTTTTTTTTTAATATTAGATTTTGATGCTCTGAGAAGTGTGTGAAAATGGGGGATATTTTGGCGTATGAGGCGGATATACTTGGTTTAGTGAAAGAGGTAAGAGCCTAATTTAATTTTATAAATGTTAATTGTGCACTATATATATGTTTTTTTGTTTTTTTATATACTTCTCATTTAAAACAGGTTGATGTTCTCCATTTGCTATTATTGCTCTCATAAATGGCCCATTTTTTTTTCTTTTTCTGTACCACATACTTTTGTGGATGTAGTTAGTTGAATAAGGGTGCATGCGAATTTGCTTAATGCAAATATTTTTGATTGAAATAGAGATCCACTACATTTTTCCCATGACCTGCAAAGGGCCCCTCAAACTCCGTCAAACTCTTGCTTCTATTCTACAGATTATGCTTACACGGCTCCTCTGGTGGATATATTTACACTTCTACATCCCTGTGTGAGTCTAATTAGTCTCAATTAAGTTGTGCTCAACTACACTTGGGCAAACGGCCAGGATAGGACAAGGGAGGAAAGTGAATTTGCAATGTTTCTATAGATAATGTATTAAATACCAAACTCTCTCAGTAGCATGGCTGCTGTACATTCTACAGTATGGAACATCAGATTTTGTTGATTAGTTTGTTGCTTTTTCCTCAGTTCTTAAACTTCGGTGAGTTCCAGGAGACACTGAAAAGTTTTTCAAACGAGTGTAAGTCGAAAGGGAAACCTCTACCTAGAAGCTCTGGATCTGCTGTAAGGGACTCAAAGACTTTGCTCGTACAGGTAATGTTAAAGGGAGCTTGAAAGATATACCCATGAGAGATCTATGTATAGGAGTAAAAAGCAATGTAACACTGTTTGAGTATGGTCTGATATGACCATAATATTAAGGTTGTTTCGCCCCCCCCTCCCCCTAAACTCCCCTGCTATTCAATGGTATTATTTTTTACATTTTTTTTATCTTCTATGAATTCATTAAGTCCAATCAGAATTGGTCATAGGCCACAAGTATATGCCAATCTATTTTAAAAAATAATAGATGTAATACATTGACAGGGTCGTGGGGCTTGTTCGCTAAAAATTAATTTGGGGGTGAATTGACAATTAGCTGTTAGTAAACATTTTATCTAAAAGAAAAAAAATCTTAATGTATAACTCTTTTTCTTGGCTTGTCTAAAATGCTCATGTTTTTTTCAATACTTTTATGGGTAGGGGATAAAACCAAATTAAATGATTGGGCCTTTACACTAGTTTGCTGTCTGGAAGCCGTATTCTTTCTTTTGGTGATTGACAGTTTGAGTGCTGTGTGAGCCTGATGGAGTTAAAGATTTAGTAATGCTGACTCTGATGCAGATAGATGTGCAATGTGTGGAATGCTAACACTGGGGGATGCATTTGTGGTAGCAACCAACAACGCCCTGTCTGGGTTAGAGATCTGTTCTTCACCTTGCTTAGTCACCTCCTGCAGACTGGGTGTTGAATGGCCGGAAATATCTTGTCTGTCAGGATATATTGCTTAATTCTTCTTCTTTCAAGGCCAGACAGGGTAAATCAGGATAAGGTCATCCTTTCTATCCCAGAACCGTTCGTGATCCTTCAATTATATAGGTTTTACAGGAAATCATAGGAATACACCCCTTCTAAATATATAGAATCACTTTACACTGAGGTGTCATTACTGTACTATACTATTACACTTCCAATGCTTTTGTAGTCCATGAATCCCATTATAATGCTACATCTCTTTTTCTGCTGTTATGTTGTACATTAGACTGCAACATAAGTAGACAAAAAATAATATTGGGGGGAGGCATGTGAATACATGAATACTCAATGGATATTATATTCTTAGGAGTAGGGTGTGAGAGCTTAAATACAGTACAGATGGTAGGCTGCTGGTGTTTAAAAGCAACTGTTCTGTACAGTGAATGTCTGTGACTCTTGTTATAGATCATCAGTCCCTGTTCTTGTCTGTCCTAGTATAACTCTTGATCTAAAGGAGGGGTGCCCAAAAGGTAGATCTCCAGATGCTTTAAAACCACAACTTCAATGTTGCTTTGTCATTTAAAAGGAATGCAAAGCATCATGGGAGTTGTGGTTCTACAACATCAGGGGATCTACCTTTTGGGCACCCCTCAGCTAAAGTAACGTTTTGACAGATACTCCATTGAAATAAATTATAATAATAAAGGCTGCATTGCATCTCAGATGTTATTAATTAATATTATACCAAGTTAGGTTGCGAAAACGTTTGGTACCTTAACCGCTACAAATCTGAACATTGTCCTGTGTCAAGTAGAATTCGATTAGAATTCAGCAGATTACCCTCAGTGTTCAGGGCAATATTATTGTCTGGAATAAGACATGTCATGCACCCCATAGAATATAATGGAGAAGAGAAACAGATAGCTAACATTATTTTATAGCCATATTACTTTATAAAACAAATCTAGGAATAAGTTTGGCTCTAACTTGAAGGTCTTATACATTGCAATCCACCTTCTCTTAAAAGAAATACTTCAGTAATACGAGATCCATAAAGTGCTTTTCGGTAAAAGAGAAACAAATTGCATGGTATTCAAATGCAATGTTAAGTGATATGTTACCATCGTCACGTGCAGACCAACGGTTTCAAGAATAACCTTTAAACCCCCAATACATTAAAGGAAAAAAAAAAGACATACTGGTGAATTTGAAAATACATTGCATAAGAACCTGAAACCAGTCTCAAAAGTTATTTGTTATGTCTTTATTGCAAGACAATATGGTATAATGATCCAGGTTACTGGGTACAGACACGTTAAAAGATTTCTTGTATTTCACAGAAGGATCTCCTTGCCACGTTTGAAGATGGAGATAGGAAAAGCTTCTTTGAGCTTTGGGAGGAGCACATCCCTGCTGAGACGCGGAATAATGAACCTCTTTCTCAGAAACTGGAGTTTTACCTGCACATTCACTTTGCCATCTTTCCCTTGAAACACAGTGTTGGACAAATTGTATGTATTCTCCTTCCTGCTGTATTAGATTATACGTTAGATTATTAGGTTGTAATCATAGTATGCAATAATGTTGGTTATTGATGATCAGAGCTCATAATAATATTAGTCTGGTAGACAATTGACCGGCATTGTCAAAAATGTCAATTTATTTTTTTCATTTTTAAATGTATTTATTTTTAAAGTTTTTATTTTTATTTTTTTTTAATTGCATTTATTCTTATTTCATTTTTGGTTAGACTTCTCCTAATCCAAAGCTCTGCACACTTACACGTGTTCTCTCTGTCTGTCTGTCTGTCTGTGTGTCTATCTATCTAATCTATTAGTGGTCAAGGACAATAAGCTGAGTTATGTTAGTGGTGCAAGTCGGTTGTGGTGTGACGAAACTGACATTCGGGTAAGCCTGTAAAAAGAGGACCCACCAATTTAAATAGCTTAATAAAGGGAGTGGTGGGTCGGCTGAATCAGATAGTCTCAGTCCAGAGAAAGGGGCAGCCTGTGTATTTATAAGAATATCCCCTCTCCGTCTACAGGTTCAGTCTTTCTATTTGCAGTCGGGGACAATCAGCTGAGTTATGTTAGTGGTGCAAGTTAGTTGTGGTGTGCCGAAACCGACATTCGGGTAGGCCTGTAAAAACAGGGCAAAAAAGTTAATAGTTTAATACTTTAATACGTGTCTACATTACGTAATTGATACTTTACTTTTTATCAGCATTTATAACCATACCTGAAAGAGAAAATTTGTTAGTGGGAGATACTGTATAACATCAAGATACTGCCTGACCTATGTTATGCCAAGTGGCAAAACTATAAATAAAACAACTATATCTATCTATCCTATCTATCTCATCCAATTTATGGGACTCTTGTGTCCCTGAGTTTTACAACATCGAGCAACCCCAAAGTTTCTGCAATAAACACTAGGACGTGTCTCCAAATTTGAAATTATAAGCTCGGGATTTAGTTTTTATCGAAGCATGTTCGGAATATTATTACTTATTCCGATTATTCCAAAAAGTAATATAGAACAATACAAAATATTAAACTATACTCATATTAACTTATAGACCCACTTTAAGGGTTAAAAGGAAACTGTCCCATCCATGATAATTGTATGTGTTAAAGGACCACTAT